GGGCAAATAATTTTTGCTGGACAACTTCCTGGTACAAGGACAAGTGGGAAGGAAGCTGAAATCATGTTCATATGAGAAGTCTAAGGAAAATATCTTTTTAAGAAAAGGGGGAGGTGGTGTAAAAGACAAGCTGCACATGTTAATGCTAGGAAAAAATTTCACTGTTGGTGCTATTCTTCCAGTTACTTCATGTACAACAGAACTAACAAAACCCAATCATCTGAATATGTCTTCTGCTCTTCTTGTGCTCACTCCCATCATAATAATATAATTTCCCCGCTGTCCTAAATAACCTGTTTTTACCACAATGTACATCATTCCTGTTGCCCATGCACTTTTGTATCCTGTGGTCTGCTCTGGCTTTTCTGCCATCCTTCGCTGTGCACAGTTACCACATTACTGACCTGCACTGTTCCTTTGGGCAGATGAAAAAGCACTAGTTTGGCAGTAGGTTGGTGTTAAGTGCCTACAAATTATCTGACCAGTGCTGTTGAGGTGTCTAAGGTCTGAAACTTGCCTGGAATTCCCTGCCTTGAGACACTGATGGCAAGACAGAGATTATTCATTGTTTGAAGCCAGCATATGTGGTTAAAGAGATGAGAAAACAGAGCAGACACCCAGTTGCAAGAAAACAATAGTTCAAGAAAATGTGTTCAGATTGCTACCACATCAGTTGTGTAATCTAATAATGAATTCTATATAAATAGAGATGTGAACTCATAAATAATTCAGTTTTATTTTTATAAAAGCAATTAACTGTCATCACTCCTACAAGATTGTGTCTTATTTTGTTCATTAATGCATGTCTGGCATGCACTTCAGAGTCTGCCTTCACATGCCTAATTTATGGGCTACTGAGTAATTTAGATTATAGATGCTTATCACTTGGGGTTGTACAAAGGAGAGATAAAAGAAACCTATTTGTTATAAGCTAGTATGCAGCTGTTGCCAATAATGCCCATAAATCAGTATTATTTATTGTCCAGCAGCACATAGGGAACATATTTAATTGGCTTGTGTTCCTACACAAGCCTGTTCTCTAGTCTCTGACATCACAAAGATATCCCTCGGGATGTGAAGTCTGCTGGTTTGTAACATTCTGTCCATGCTCATGGGTCTACAGAAATATTTTTCAAGTTTCTTCTGGAGCTTAAGATTGGTCAAAGTTGTATTTTCTTTCACAGAGTGGGATGCAGAGTAGTCCCTTGCATATGAAAATAGACATGAAAGTTTAGGTCACCATTCTTCATGTTATCAAGTGGCAGCGAAATAGCAAGTGTGATGCCTCATTACATTTTCCCACAAAGCTGGCTTGCAAGTAGTACCTCATGTCTTCTAAGTTCAAAATGGGGACATGGATTTAGAACAGGAGTCAGTGTAGAGGTGATGTTTGCAGAATGAAGGTTGAGTTCAATTCTGAACTTAGAAAGCCTCTGCTTATACAAAGAATACATAGTTTTCACCAAATTATTCCAGATATTTATCTAAAATTATTTATACATTTTTTTTGTTTGTTTGATTTATTGTAATAGGATTCTACCTCTAGAAAATTTCTGTAATGGAGTAAAAGTGACTCTAAATTCTTTCATCTAAGAAACCTGTAAATAAGATGCCTCCAAGAATTCAGAATATAATTAAAATTATTAGCAATGTTCATTTAGCTATAAGCACTAGCTTAGACAATGGCTGGTAGTCAGTAAAAGGTACCTGTCCCACTCATAGCATTCTTTTCGTGTAGCATATTTTTATACCATTCTCAGTTAGGAGCTGGTGATGAGAAGTCATTCAGGTTATCACCCAGGGCATCCACACTAAGAGACTTAACCTCAGTCATTAAGGGTCAGTGACTCTGATTGGGTTGGTTTGCTAGTTCTCAAAAATGTGAAACTGCAGCACAGCTCAGGTCCTCCAAATCTGAGGGATACTGGGACAAGACAACTGGTGCCTCAGTTACCATGTTATTCAGTGGTAGTCTTGGCAACACAGTTCCTAACTCCAGGCTTTACTCTCCCTCTCTCTTCAAGTCTGTTTATATCTTGTGTTCCCAAAAACATGCATTCCTCACACAGAACCATGCCACCTCTTTGTTTGGTTCTCCACACCATTCTACATGGAAATGTCAACCTTTGGGAGACTAAAATAGTTTTCAATATTTCAAACTTTCGATAGTTTTCTGGTTTGAAAATAAATACTTATAGAATTAAAATACTTAAATTCATAAAACTTTTTGTGTACTGGAGATACTATAGGGACAGTTGACAGATTTTTTCTCACTTTCACTGATGTCTTTATCATGGAGACAAGGTTCCAGGTGTAAGAAATCTGGTGCAGGGAGGGCCATTCATTCAAGTATAGTTATAATCCTCCCAGAAGAGATCAAGACCAATGGTGTTATTTGTGACATTGCAATGATCATTAAATATAGAAAATCTAATTCTTTGATGTCTGCCATAAGTTAGAGGTGTCATACAAAAGGACTTGTGCTGCAACTTAGCTGCAAAGCTAGGAGCTGACTCTTTGGGCATCCAACTGCTTACACTAGATTTATAAACTGTTACAGATTAAGGCCTTATAGTTCTGCCTGTTGTTCATGTTTTCTTTAAAAAGACAGAACATCCCCTTGTATGCATTTAGTGCCATTCTGTGCAATCACCAAATCTCATACACTTCTGTCATTTCTGCTTCAAACTACATCATTCCTACTACAGTCTCTGTAACAACCTCCCAGCATCTTTTTTTCTGACTGGCAGAGGATGCAATCTGGTCACTTTGCATAGGAAAACTATTCTTGCCTTTTGTCTCTCTGCCCCTAGAATGCTGCTATGACACAGCATGGTACATAAAGCACAGCCAATCTAAAAAAAAAAATCACCAAATTACCTTACCAGTCCTTTGAACTACTCCCACATTCAAGTCCGAATTTCACAAAAATCCATGCCGGGTAGGACCCTTCTGTCACTGCCTGTGCACAAAGTGAGGCAATTGTCTGCTTAAAGCTGCAGCCACTTTTCTCTTTGCCATCTGCTTCCTTCAGTTGTTTTAATTAAAAAAATTGGTTTCAATTACTATAAAACAAGTAATTGCTTCTCACAAACAGCATTTGCACAGATGAATCATTCCATGTGCTTTCAGCTTACAGATCTGAGCTATGACACCCTCATTTTTGTTTTAATGCTCTAGGATCCAACAAAGGATCAATTGCACAGTCAAACAGGTGACTGGTTACTTGAGTAGTTGTAACTTTCTCACTTCTGTCTACCCACATTACACTTGAATTATTCTATGCCAAAGCAGATTAAGCCAAAACTGAAAATTATAGTATTACAAAATATTTCTCCATACAAACAAGTTTGTTGAAAGAATTCCCAAATAGCTCTTTTGATTGTTTTTTTTCTTTTTTTACATAAATAACCCCCTACAAACAACAGCCACACAGTTAATGCTTTATAGCACTGATTGCCTGGCTTATTACATTCAAAAAGCAGAGACAGCCTTCCCTGACTTAGCTACAAAAGCATGCTGCAGAAGACCTTGCTGTAAAGAGAACTGTAGGTTTCAGAAGTGCTCTGGGGGTATGCCAGACCCCTGCTGCTCTCCTGAACACTGTGGGTTAAGATCAGTAGAACTCAGAAAGTGTTTCAGCACAATCTGTGGCTACCCATCTGTTACAAGCAAAAGGTCTATCTACATCTACCTTGAAAACTGCTCTGCCATCTCTTTTGATGGGAGCCTTTGAGTTGAGTAAGATGTCTCCAGAGCACACAAAAATATTTCAAAATCATTATGTTTTAATTGCACTTTTACTTTTTGTGATTTTGGTAATGAGAGCTTTTACTGGGAATTCTGTGTATGAGTACTTAAGTCAGGATCTCATTTCTTACAAAAGGCATGAAGGGTCTGGCCAAGACAGTTCAAGGCTGGCAAATTCCCTGTTGTGTTTGTGTTACAGTTGCCCAAGGGAAGTATAGATTAGATGGAATCCTTAAGCATAGCTAGAATCACTGCTAATAAAAGCTGTCATGTTAGAACTCATCCCCGTATGGGCCACCAATTGTTGGCATTGCTGTTTGGCACCAATCGATGGTGGATGGGAACTGTCACCTTTGGTTTATTATCTTACTGTAAGACTCTCATACCTTCTCTCTGTGAGTTCTCACAGGCAGCTCCTCGCAACACTGACTCCTTTTCTCTCTCTTCCACATGGCCAGCTGACTTCTACCTGTCCCTGTCACTGCCGCCCGATCCTTTCTGTCCCTGGCAGCACACACTAACCCCTACTGTCCCTAACAT